ATAATATTTTAAGCTTAGCAAATCCTGCAATCACTACACTCTTCAAAAGCATCCAAGATATGGACATTTAGGTTTCAATGTACAAAAAGAGAAAGATCTTAAAATAATGCATATAACTAAAAACAGGGGACTTGTAGAGTCACCCAAACATCCAGGATACAAAAATGCAATTGTTGTTGTCAAGCCCCCATTCTCTAACATAGTTGTATGAAGCCTGAAATAACAATATTGTATGAATGAATGTTCTTTGTAGTTGTATGATAAGTGCTGTATATTGAATTCATAAAACTAATCTCTGTTTTCTTATTAAAATATTTATCAAAGCATAAGCACCTTGCTTTTGGAGTTCTTGCACCCACTTCTTTGCCCGGGCAAAAGAATCCTGATTCATAAAACAGAACAAGAACATAAATTATCTAAAATATACAAACAAAATTCTTGCACCCACTTCTTAGCCGTGCAAGTGAATCAAACAGAACATGAAATAAAATCATTTACACATATGGTCAAAGAACATGTTAGAAACCTCACAAATTTTAGATTTTTCCAAGACCAAAATAAAATTCTAAGAAGCTCCCTTTCCAGCCAAGCTATGGTACCTTTCCTCTCTGGCAGTCTCCCAGATCTCGAACTTCACCGTTGCATTGTTGACCGCCACCGCAGGGGCGGATCCAGGAATTTTTAGAGCACAGGCTAAAATTTGAAAGTCAAATAATAAATTCATATATAACATTAAAGTGAAATTCTTGTAGAGTGAAATTGTTCCCGACGAGGTTTTGAAATATAAAATTCATCGAAAAGATAACAAGTGAACAACAACTAATTAAGCACACAATGCAACAAGTAAACTACAATTAATTAACTAATTTGTTGACAAGGCAAGAACATTCTATTTCAATATTTTGCAGACAAAGGGCAAGCAACATATAAGGAGTAATCTGAAAGGGGCATGACCTAAAATTTATAATGATGGAGAGCTATCATAAAGAGATTGAAAAGTGTTAATATTGAAACGTGAAGTGGAAAATAAGGTTCCAGTTACTATAAAGGAGAATATTAGGATCTGAGTTTGAACTTTGGTGGATAAAGGAAAATCCAGACAAGATATAGAGATACTAAAAATTAAGTGCTTCACAATTTTTCATTATTAACGTCAACTGTAGACCAAAAATTGACCTCTAGCTTCTCAAAGAATCCTATACTGCTAAAAGGTTTTCTCATCCCGATGCCCAATCACAATCTAGGTTCAAAATCCAGCCTCTGTATTTCAACTAATACTAGATTAAACCAAAGAAACCTGTATCAAGCTAACTCTCAAGAATGACAAGTGAAAACCCGACTATAAATATCCCAAATCACTAAAATGGATCCATCTGCCCAAAAGTCAAAACTCAAAACCCACTTCGAAGATCAACTTCTCCTAAAATTATTCACATTAACTAATATTTTAGCTTCAAGAATTTGGGCTATGGTAGCTTTCATGGCAAAAAGAAACCGTTTTTGGTTCTCCTTTTCAATTTAAAACCAAATCCTCTTTCAAGAAAGGCCAAAAAAATGTTGTCAAACAGCAAATCATTTAAATATAAGTGAATAAATGGGCAAGATTTAACCTTCAATGAAGCCTGAAAACTGGGTCAAGAAAGCATTGATTTGGTCCCTATAGATGTAACCCACAGTCCCGAATCCACAAACGACTCCAACAAGCAAAAGTCCAGCCAAGAATGTGCCTTTAACAGCAGTGTCACCACCTGTGGTGTCCCCATCAGTATTGTCATCATTCTCACCTTTTGGGTTCAAATTCAAGAACCCCCTGATGCTTTGAGGTACATTGCTGCGAGTTTTTGAAAGGGCCTGCTGTTTAGGGTTTCTCTGAATGAAGAGCATGGGTTCAGAAAATGGAAATTGGAAGTGCTTGGGCTTGAAACTGAAGAGTGAGAAGCGAAAGTTTGATCTTTGTTGGAGTTCCGATGGGGGCGAAATGAAAAAATTTAGG